AAGGTTGTTAACGCGCCTACCAATAAGCCCGATTCGGAAGTCGGAACAACCAAGTTTGAAATAGCACTAAATTTATAAGTTGTGGATGCGGCGCGTCAGGAGCGCAAACCTTCTCCTCTTCCTTCACCTCTGCCCAACGCCCGGCCACCTCTCTTGCAGCCATCATCCATTCTCTCACACCACTACATCCATCCATCATGAAGCGAGGTCTATCTCCAAGCACGAACGAAGATATGCAGACCTTGTACAAACGCATCTGCGAGTAAGTTTACGTTATTTCAGCTTCCAAACAGCCCTCTGACTGTCACAGCATCAAACGTGAAGAAAAGACGTACAATAAACGGTGCGTCTAGGCCGTCAAGTCATTAGTCCTACATTATATGTTCTCACTATGTGCTCACTTCAGAATCGACCACATCAAAGAGCAAATCAAAGTGTTGGGGATGGAACAGACAAAACTCGAAGATGAGAGAAGAGTGCTTGTAGGATCGTGAGTCGCTACTCCGAGCCGCGTATCCTGTACTGGATCAACGCTAATTTCGCACAGTCAACTCGTTGACGCCATCGTCCCCTACTCCCGTGCCTGGACGCTCGAGTTCGTCGCCAATATGCGATCACGCCTGCCGAGGGAACTTCGCGATATGATTTATAAAGAACTGGTCAGAAGTTGCTGCCATCTAAATTCGTGGACCTTTCTCGATCTCCTCAATCGAGAAAGATGCACCGCGCGGCCTTGTATGTGCCTGCGAAATATACGTCTGCCGCATATCGTCGATGTGTCGTATATGGGTCATGAGGCTGCCCTCGAGGTTGTTGAGGCCGTCTACAGAGCATACTCGGCCCGTCTATTAAGCGTGGAAAGGGTTGACCATGTGAGGAACGCCCTTCTGTCGGATTACTTCCATGTCGGCTTTAAACCTCTCGATTTCGCCCGAGAGATTACCATCAACTGGAAACTGAGTCGCTCGGTAGTTGAGTATAACAAGAAAGGCGAACGAATATGCCGACGACCAGCAAAGAGAGACTTCAAGACTTTGTTGAACATACGCAACAAATCAGGCTTCAAGCTACAAATCTTCATGTACCAACGTCACATCAGTCTCAATGCGATTGAGAAGGCCTTCGAGATCCTCAAGCCGATATACAAACAGTTCACAAAAGAAGGCGCAAATGTTGAAGTGACGATTGTAAACGACACAGATGACTCAGTAGAGTTTCCCTTGAACGATGCGCTCTCGCAACCGACAAAGCAGTGGAGGAAGGAACTGATGAAGAAAATGGAAGATGTAAGCCTAGAAATGGTGCATGCAATACCCAAGTGCTGACTTGAGACTTCCGCAGAATCGACTCATTAGGAATCACCACAAGGATTACCTATACGAGACTCCGGGTTCCTGCTGGACCAGAGATAGCTCCTCAGAAGACAGCGGCATAGACGATACAGAAGGCATGTACGACACCGAAGGCATGTACTACACTGAAGACATGTACGACGAAGAGATGGACGACATGTTCTATGCTGGTGACCCCTTTAGCTATAACGGGAGAGCAATTTCCATGGACGCATTTGAAATGGGCATTATCTGAAGCGGTCGGCTGCTGAATGCGAAGAGGGCCGCACCTGGCCGCGATAGATTGGGGCTGGTTTTCCACTTTGCACGGTTGCTGATCTCAATTGCATTTGGTTCGGCCAGCTTTGAAAGTTGGCGTTGTCCGTAATGCTCGAAAGTTATGTTAGAGTCCTATTCAGTTTTGAAATCTCACATTTAATGTTGCTCCCCACATGAATGAATCGATTGATTGGTACCCCAAATCTCAGCGGCAATGTCGTGACTACAGCTGACAGGCCTCCCCAATCCCCCTTTCCTCCGTCTCCTTGTTAGCCCTCACTACAGCACTGTGCACTGTTGTCATGCTTGCACTTCTTGCACAACCATTCGACCCGAGGCTCCTTGTTCCTATTACGGGATGAGAGAATCTTTTCTTAACTTTGACAGACACTCCAACTCAAGATCATCTTACCGAAGCATAAACACAGAAAAGTTCTTTGGAGGATCACCAACGTCATCTTGCCCATTTTCGAGACGTAGCAAATAACCAGGCCTTGGGTCGCGTCTTCGCGGAGCATAATGTCGATATTGTCGCTGCGCCTGCACACAGCGTGTTTTAACCTGTCTCGCATCTGGTAGTGGCATGAAAACACTTGCAAGGTCAGGTGGATGCGTCTGATATATGTAGGCGAATCTGTCGCTTCTCGACCTATTTCATATCCTCAATATAATAGGGGACTATCTGGTCTTACCTTTATTGCGTTGGTATATCAAGAACATTTGTCAGTCAAGCCAATGGAGCATGGGAGGCAACCTGCGTTAAATAAAGGCCACCGTTCACTCTATCCGAGTGGCTGTCAACAAAATAATGTTCAGACAAAACTACACCCGTTTTCATCGGCCGCCTACCATTATAATCATTCTAATCTCGAGCAGACGGAACAAGCAGAATCAGACAATCTCACACAGTGGATTCTCTTCAAGCAGCAGGGAAAGATGGAGACGGAACGATCAATGTCCTTGTCGGTTCGATGGAACACCTCAACCAAGCATTGTCAGTCTCGCATTCTGTTGAGAAAGATTGGTTTCACACAATGCATAATTGGAACTGTGCTGTTATATCCGAACAGGGAATGGGACGAAAGCGGGATCGATTGAATCAGGAGCGGGATTTCGCTACCAACCAATCTGATGACATATCCAACAACAACAACCGCGCAGACAGCCCATCTTGAGGAGAAGGCCCAATGGGAATTTGGGGGGGGGGGGGGGGGGGGCAGAAACAGCTTGATGAAGCTCAAACTTGTTATGGACGAAAGAAATTCCCTGACAAGATGGCGATTGAGTGCCAAATCTATGTCGTAGTTGGCTTGAGGTCTTTATTGAGGTACAATATGTAAAAGCGTATCGTATCGACAATGAATAAGAAGGGTCATCTATCAACCCGATCTATATACAGTGGTTGCGCTACACTAGCGCCTTTCTTGTGATTTGAATCCGTTGCCCAGTGATTGATTGCTTGCCTACCAATGTGACCAGCTCCTACTTCAACACTTTTTCTGCTTATTATCAGACGCGCGCACACGCTCTGTCCCTATAAAGTCGGCAATCTCTTGAATGATTTTCTTGCTTGTTCAATAACCTGATTACCTTTGCTTTCAACCTTATCAAACAAGCTCTCTCTCTCTCTCTATATATATATATAACTGGACACAACCACGCCCTACTATACCAACTATATAAACCATGAGCAATGCCACGGAACCCTCACAATGCGCCGAATCTTCGCCCGAATCCGAGACGGAATCCAGTCTCGATTCCAGCATAGTGACGGCGAAAATTCTCATCATCAATCCTGAGAGCATGGAGCCGGAGCTAGAAACTCGAACGACCACGCTCCTCAAGCTGAGACTGGCCGTCGAAGTCTGGGACCACGAGGTCCTCTGGTATTATCAAGAGAAGGCACGGGTGGACCTGGTGTGCAGATATCTCCTTCCCGCCGACAAGCAGCTAGATGACGGCTTCTATCGCTTCCCTCAGCTCGTTGCTCTCCACCATCTCGAAGGATTCATGCATGCGGTACTGGAACAGGCCGGGTAAGTTTGGTTCTTGTAGTGTATGTAGTACTCGGTCATCTGCTGTGCTAACCCATGTGTGACAAAGGTTCACGCATTACACGGAGATTTTCCCGGATGAGAAGGAGAGGCGTCGCATGATTCTTGGGTATAGGTGGAAAGAGCCTGTGCCGGTGCTTCCGCCTTTCCTCCAGATTCCTTATATCGAGATTGGCAGTTGTGAATCCTTCACCAAGGCCAACAGGGGAGATGCGAGGATATGTTTGTTAGAGCGTAAAAGTGACGATTGTATTGACAGATACCTTTGAGCTGAGCGATTGATTGAATATGCAACTGGAGCATCTGGGGACTGCTACAATAACAAGTTTGTCGAACGGTTGGTGTAGGACGAGTGAGTGGTGTTACTGGACAGTTAGGTTGATCGTGTCGTTCTCCATGGTACAATCGTTTGCTTCCAAGGGGCTCTAAAAGGGGATTCGAGCGATGGGGAGTTCAGGCTTTCAACGTTTGGCGGGCTAGATGCGCGAGCATTCGCTCGACTTATGTTTGCTTGTATGAAAGCCTTCTGGGTAATTATTAGAGCAGTTTCAACTAATTGTTGAGGAGATGGTCTGATATTATGCTTCATGCAGACATCCTTTCAAACGTCGGACAGGATA